AAAATCTTTAAAAAAAAAAAAAAAAGGATGGGCCCTAAATCCAATGACTGGTGTCCTTGTAAGAGGAGAGAAACAGACACAGAGGGAGAAGGCCCTTTGATGACAGAAGCAGAAATTGCAGTGATGCAGCTTCAAGCCAAGGATTGCCATCAACCACCAGAAGCTAGGAGGCCTGAAACGGATTCTCCTTGAGAGCCTCCAGAAAGAACCAATCCTGCTGACACCTCAGTTTTAGACTTGCCTCCAGAACTGTGAGAGAATAAATTTCTGTTGTTTTAAACCACCAGGTTTATGGCAATTTATTATGGCAGCTCTGGGAAACTAATACAAGAGCAAAATTTATTTTATTTTTTTTAAAGATTTTATTTATTTATTTGACAGAAAGTGGGAAAGCACAAGCAGAGGGAGCAGCAGAGGGAGAGGGAGAAGCAGGGAGCCCAATGAGGACCCCGAAATCATGACCCAAGCCAAAGGCAGACACTTAACCGACTGAGCCACCCAGGCACCTCCCAAGGGCAAACTTTAAAAATTGAATCTTCAAGGGGCTCCTGGATGGCTCAGTAGGTTAAATGTCCAAGTCTTGACTTCAGCTCAGGTCATGATCTCGGGTTGTGAGGTTGAACCCCCGTTGAGCTCCACATTGGGCATGGAGCCTGCTTAAGATTCTCTCTCTCTGCCCCTTCCCCTCAACCCATCTCTCTCCTTCTCTCAAACAAAACAAAACAAAACAAAAACAAAAACCTAAAAAAAATGGACTCTTCAAAAAAAAAGAAAATAACAAGTTTGGTAAGGATGTGGAGAAATTGGAGCCCTTGTACATTGTTTATGGGAATAAAAAGTGGTGTGTAGCCACTGTGGAAAATGGCATGGTAATTTTTCAAAAATTTTAACATAAAATTACCATAGGATCTAACAATTCCACTTGTGGGCATATACTCAAAAGAAATGGAGGTAGGGACCGGAACAAATATTTGTACAACCGTGTTCACAGCATCATTATTCACAATGGCCAAAGGTGAAAGCAACCCAAGTTGTCCACTGACAGAGGAATGCCTAAGCAAAATGTGGTATATACATACTACGGAATATTATTCAGCATTCAAAAAGAAGGAAATTCTGACACATAATACATAATGCAACCTGCATGGATGAATCTTGAGGACATTATTCTAAGCGAAATCAGCTAGACACAAAAGGACAAATACTGTATGACTCCAATTATATGAGGTACCTAGAGTTGTCAAATTCATAGAAACAGAAAGTAGAAAGATGGGTTCTGGGGGCAGGCAGGAATGGGGAGTTATTATTTAATGGCTACAGAAGCCATAGCTATTCTCTTGGTAGGAGACAGATTGTGCTATGCAGATATACTGTATTTTGTAAACAAATTACCAAATTTTCACTTGTGGATATAATTTTAAAGTAGTTTTTTATATGGCAAGGTAAAACTAGGTTTATATTATCAAGATAAAAAGCATCCAAAGAAAGCAACAATTTTAAGTATTATTTCAAAGTAGTTACAGGCCTGCCGAGCCTGTCTTTGCTTCTTATTCTGTCTCTTCAGTTGTTTTTTACATTAGGGTAATTCCATCTTCGAGGGCTAAATACTTTCTTCTGTTTTCTCAGTTTTAAAAATGGTATTGCAAAAAGCTAAGCAGAATGTATACTCTTAGAGTATGGGCTGTAGCTGTCTCTGATGTGGGTACTGAGTTGAATGCTTCTTACCTACAGGAACCACAGTTGCAAATAGGAGTTAGTGAGATTTTAAAAGTCAGCTATTTTTTCTGTGCATTTTTACAGTCATGTCTAACATTTTTATAGCTAAAGAGGTGTCCTCTCATACATACTCATCAAGATGTCCAACAGTAAAAGAGAATGAGTCACAATGGATCCAGTACAAGGAGCACTGTTATACATCTGACCGGGCATTGCGCAATTTCTCAGAAGCCAAACAGTTCTGTTCAAAACTTGGTGAGTTAAAATTTATTGATTTTCTTGGACTCAATAATTTAATCATTGCAATTTTTTCCAAGAAAACAATTTGAAATAATGATTATATTTTTTAAAATATTTTGGGGGCACCTGGGTGGCTCAATCAGTTAAATGTCCGATTCTTGATTTCGGCTCAGGTCATAATCTGAGGGTTGTGGTATCGAGCCCCGAGTTGGGCTCTGTTCTCAGTGGGAGTCTGCTTGGGATTCTCTCCCTTCCTCTCCCTCTGCCCCTCCCCACCAACACATGTACTCTCTCTCTCTCTCAAATAAATAAATAAATATTTTTAAAACATTTTTAAAACACTCAATATTTATAATAGCATTTTATAACCTATTTGCCTCGTGGTTAAGTATTTTACGATATATGAGTTAACTGGAGTATTGGAAGAGCCATTATAAATGACCAATGTAAGAGTAAGTACATGGAAAATAAAAGTAAGTGGAAAGAAGTAGAATAAAAAATTGCTAAGTGAACCATTTGATGTGAAAATGACAAATGAAATGGTTTTAAATAAAGCTAGATATGTTTAGATGAAGGGATTAGGAGGCAAATTTTTTGTAAAGGATAAGTATTAAATACAAAATTATAGATTTTCCCACTACTTAGTTATTAATAAGTAAGCTTATCCTGACCAGAGTAATCAAGGAAGCATGGGTTGTTCCTCCATTCTGCAACAGAAATGGCCCACATCCTCTGAACACCGTAAGGAACAGGACTTTTTGTCTTCAGATTTAACTATTTTAGAAAGGGCAACAATGACTGGATCTCTCCCATGATAAATTTTTTTTTTTAAAGATTTTATTTATTTATTTGAGAGAG